CATGCTTCTTTGGGGGATTGGTCACTTTTCCGTTGGAACGTTTGAATGCAGGGCATAGCATGCATAGTACTGCTGTTCAGTTCAAGTTTCCTTTTAATCCATTGTGAAGACTGTTGCACAGCTGACATGCAATCTGTTGACTGTATCCTAAAATAGAAAAGACAAACTCGGGCTGGTTGTTGGTACGTAAAACTCTTACCCTAGCGGAGATCTGAGATAAACAGAAGCTTACCGCAACCATCCCTTTTTTTTTTCACTAGAAAAAAAAATGCCAGAAAAATTTTCTGAGAGTAATAGTATAAGGACCAGAAAGACATTTTGAAGGATCATTTTCGGAGAGGAAAGCTATCTGAAGGCCTGGAATATAGGAAAGGGAAGCTGAGATTCAAAAAAAAGGGATTTGTCTTCCACTACATTTTAAAAGAACTAAATTAAAGAAAAAAATGGATTACTGGATTTAAAGGAACTGTGTTCTAGTTTCATACATTTGCATATGTAGGTTATTTGGATGTCTGAAATCAATGTCTGAAACACATGTTGTTAGGTGCCATTGAGTTGGCACTGACCCATAGCGATGAAACACTGCCCGATCCTGGACCAACCTCACAGTTGTTCCTACACCTGAGCCCATTGCTGCCGCCACTGTGCCAATCCATCTCGTTGGGGGTCTTCCTCTTTGTCTCTGACCCTCCACCTTACCAAACACGATATCCTTATCCAGTGACTGGCCCCTTCTGATAATATGTCCGAAGTGTGAGAGACGAAGTTTGGCCATCCTGGCCTCCAAGGAGCACTCTGACTGCCCTTCTTCCAACACATACCTAGCTTCATGACGTTCATAGTCATAGATTTGGGCCATCTATGTTTTTAACCTGTGTTTGCCTCAGTTGTCAAAATGAGAATGATAATACCTTACAGGTTGTGGTTAACAAATATTGTATGTAACACTGCTGAAGCAGTGACAGTGTTGGTTCCTGTCCTCGGCTCATTAAATCATTCTGTGTTTGTGATGGGTAACATGTATATCACCCATTTCTTGATGGATAATAGCACAACATCTGCTGCACAAGAGCAAAGATGTCAGCTTGAGGACTAAGGTGTACCTGACCCAGGGCATGGTATTTTCAGTAACCCCGTATGGATGCAAAAGCTGGACAGTGAGTAAGGAAGATTGTAGAAGAATTGATGCCTTTGAATTGTGATGTTGGAGGAGAATATTTAAAGTGCCATGGACTGCCAACAGAACCAATAGATCCGTTTTGGAAGAAGTGCAGCCAGAGTGCTCCTTGGAGGCTAGGATGGCCATACTTTGTCTCTCATACTTTGGACATATTGTCAGAGGGACCAGTCACTGGAAAAAGGATATCATTTTTGGTAAGATGGAGGGTCAGAGAAAAAGAGGAAGACCCCCAGCGAGATGGATTGGACAAGTGGCGGCATCGATGTGATCAAGCGTGGCGACAGTATTGAAGTTGGCCCAGGATCAGGCAGTGTTTGTGGTTCTGCTGTACATAAGGTCGCTGTGGCACCAACTCGATGGCACCTAACGACAACAACAATAGTGTAACAAGATTGTGAAGTTGCCACGAGACCAGACAGTGTTTTTGTTCTGTTGAGCATAGTGTCTCTCTGAGTTGGCACCTACTCGATGGTACCTAACAACAATATGTATATCTGAAATATTATTGAAGTGAATGATGTGCCAGGAAAATGCCTGGATTCATTAGCTGTGTACCTAGGCACTTAACAAAGTAACCAGAAACCCCAGCCAGGTTACCCAGGTGTTTCTGAATAATCAGCTCTTTGTAACTAATTTCAAGTGTTCCTGGCCACATGAGCAAGTCTGGCGTTATGCCTGTTTTCCTTGACACGATTCTTTTGCCATCCCTACAGTATTCAGCAAAAGTAACACCTCTTACATTCCGAGACTGGAGTCAGGATATGGGTCCTTATTTAAAGCTGTGTTCGTTGGAGGTGTTGCTTCTTTGAATGTTGCAAAGTCAGAGCCTCAGGAAAGATGCTATGAATTCCGTGTTTTTCCACGGTGTCTGGATTTAAACGATGAGTTGTGCATTTGTACTTCTGCAGTGAAGATCTTTCTAAAAGGCCTTAAAAAATATGTGGGCAGTCCAATCCCTTTGTAGCTTTTCAGTGATCCTGCACATGAGAAGTGATTGCTAAGGTTAATACTAAGGGCTAGTACACTTACGGGGCTTGGGGAGGATGTGAGAAAACTTACAATCAAAAATTGTGGTTGAAAGTATTTGAATGGTCATCCAATCCTTTTCTACCAGGTTTTTTTTTTTTTTTGTTTGTTTGTTTTTTTAAATCATCTTTTGCGTTTATGCCTGAGGAGGGAAAGGAACAAATCCTTGTGTACCTACAATGTGCTGGACAATGAGCCAATGCTTTATAAATATCTTAGTTTTCCTCACCATGTTACAGTGGTCTGAGAAAAAGAGGAAGACCTCTAAAGAGATGGATTGGCACAGTCGTGGCAGCAATGGGCTCAGGTGTAGCAACGACTGTGAGGTTGGCCCAGGACTGGGCAGTGTTTTGTTCTATTGTGCATAGGGTCACTATGAGTCGGTACGAACTTGATGGTACCTAACAACAACTATTATAGTGGTGGTCTTATTTCACTTATAGACCAAGAAACTGACATATGAATAAAGTCCTTTAATAGAGGAGTCCTGGTGTGGTGCTGTAGGATAAGCATTAGACTGCAAGGTTGGTTTTAACCACAAGGTTAGCGGTTCAAACTCACCAGCTGCTCTTCGGAAACCCTGTAGAGAGTCTTGCTGAGTCAGAACCAACTTGACAACAGTTAAACAACAACAACAACAACAACACTGCAGCTAGTGGAGCTAGAATTTGAATTCCAATGTGTCTTGACTCTAAAGATTTTGTATGACTTTTATGACCCCAGAAGACAAATCTTACATATTTTTTGGCCTGACAATATGCTTCTTTTGTACCTGTTATGAAAGGTTAATGGAAAGGTCAGGAATTCGAATGTACCAGCTGCTCCGCGGGAGAAAGATGTGGCTGTCTGCTCTGATAAAGGTTGTTGGTGTTGAGTTCCAGCCATAGAAACACTACAGGGCAGTCCCGCTCTGCCCTCTGGGGTCACAGTGACTTGGAAGTGACTTGATGGCAGTGATTTTATTTATTGTTAATACCTCTTAGACCTTTGAGCTGAGGATTTTCCTGAATTCCTTCTGGGACTGTGCAGCGTCTAGAGTTTCCTGAGGCAATCTCCAGTCCTCTCTCACAGGCCCACTGGAAACTATTTTTGAGACTAGTAACAAGCCTGACCACCCCCATTCTTCATGAGAGGGCATTTCCCAAACTGCTTCTTAGAAATTGTAAATGTATGACATGATTTTTCTTTACTGGTTGACCTTCTACTATCGTATTCTTTGTTGACACAATCCTCATATTTAGTGCTAGGGACCCAGGAAAATCATAACCTCCTTTCTAGCCCCTTGGAAACTTTAGGACTTAGTATGGGAACTAATGTATGCACACAGTGGGCAGTGCCATAGGTGACACAGCCAGCCAACCAGACATGCCATTATGTCATGTGTTCAGAGTGAGAAGGGGGGCAGAAATTTATACACAGATTTCAGGGAAGCCTTACGTCTCAATGTTGTCTCTCAATTATAATGTCCCTGGGAGAGCTGACTTCTGTACATCTAGGGCTGGGCAGCAATCTGTGATAATTGTGTATGCTGTGATTTATGCCACCTTAATAAAGGAAAAATCTATTTCCTGAATTCTCAGATATATGTTTGCTTTTCTGAAATTTTTTTTTTTTAAAGCTTTTATTGTGAATTGAGTGAAAGTTTACATGGGAGAACATTGGTTTTGCACTCATCCTATCATATTTCATTTCATTGTAATGATTACAGTCCTCTCAGTGCATCATCATTCAAAAGTATTTGCTTCTATTCCTTTTGGTGTTTTTTTTTTTTTTTTTTTTTTTAAATTTGATTTACACAGAAACACTCAGGAATATATAATCATTTAAACAACCCAAGGGCACATTCTGCAAGCCTGCCTCCTGGCCGCCAACACACAGCCTTTCTCTTCCCATGAATCTAGAGTCCTCAGCTGCTCTCTCTCTCTCCATGTCCTCATCTCTGATGTTACTGTTTTTTTGGATAAGGTCCCACGTTGCACTCGTGCTCTTCTCCCTTGATGGTCCTAGGGTTCTTTGTTCCTGGACTGTAAGATAAACCACTCCCCCCTTTATGCTACAGAACTTCTGGCTTTACAATTATGACAGTCACAATTAGTCATGATAACAATTACTCGCTGTTGAATCGTAAGAATCTTATCCCCATCTCCTTTCACCAGACCCGTCTAGACAAGATGAAAATTGTGCAGTGGGGACGCTAAACTAAACGCCTCTTGGAAACTTGTAAGCTAGCCACTCTGTGCCTTTATAGCTCCCTGCCCTTCATTTTAGGTAGCCAGTATCTGAATTGCTTGTTCCGATCAACCCTGGTGTGGTGTGGTGTGGCTCTGTGCATTAATGTGCTAGACTGCAAAGTCCATTTGAACCACAAGGTCAGTGGTTCAAGCTCACCAGCTGCTCCTCAGAAACCATATACAGGGTCAATATGGGTTGGAACCGACTTGATGGCACTTAACAACAACATCAACCCTGTGTACCGAGGGGATAGACTTGATCTATGAAGTGAAGACTCCTTCCCTCTTGCTTGGTATTTTGAGCTACTACATCCATAAGTCAAGTTCATCAAATTGTAGCAATTTACATTTGGTTCCTATATCAGATTTCTTTATCTTCCTTTAGTTGAGCTGTGGTCATCAAGCCATTGAAGCTAGGTCAGATGGGTACTATCTGCTGACTATTCCTTTGCATTTTCTCCTGGTCTTTATACTTTACTATAAAGTAACCCAGTGACGTAAATGTTGGGTTGTTAACTGTAAAGGCAGCAGTGTGAACCCATCAGCTGCTCTGCAGGGTAAGGATGTGGCAGTGTGCGTTGGTGAACACTCACCGCCTTGGGAACCCCATGGAGCCGCTGTGCTCGGACTGTCGGATTGCTGTAAGTTGGCATCTGCTCAGTGGTAGTGGGTTTTGCGTTTGGTTTTACTCTGAAGTGGAAGTAACTGAATTTGGATGCCTATGGAATCATTGTCTAGTTATGAGTTCTTTGGATGTGATCTGTGACTGGTTTAATGTAAAATTTCCAGTGGAAATAAATTCAGTTCTCCTAGGAGGTTTTCCTAGAACCTAGTAATAGAGACTTAATTTATTTGCATATTTTTTGGCTAAGTTTTTATGTTTAATTGCAAAGCCTGGTCTCATATTCTACAAGTGACTAAAACTTATTTCAGATGAATAAGTTGCATAACTCATTAATTTGGACCTCTTAATTTCAAATTTGTATTACAGAGGCAGAGAGGATAAGGCTTATTCTAAAGGTTGCTGTTGTGTATTGGAATGTGCTAATTACATGTTTTAGTCATTATAGCAGGCCAAATAAAACTTCTTGGCGATGTTTATTGGTCCCTAGTTTCATGTTGGAGTCCTGGTGTGGCACTGTGGGATAATGCACTGGGCAGCAAAGTCAGTTTGAACTGCAAGGTCAGCAGTTCAAACTCACCAGCCACTCCTAGGAAACCCTGTACAGGGTCACTGTGATTTGGAACTGATTCGATGGCACTTAACAGCAGTGATAACAATTTCATGTCATTGTCTATGTTAAAGTAGTAAAAATGTCGTCAGTTCCTTAACAAATGTTGGTAAATGATCTTTCATTAGCAGTTCAGAATTAGCTGAAATTGTAAACTGTTCTCAGTTTAGAAATATAGAACACACATATCAAAAACCGGTTTTGTTTAATGGTATATAGGAGATTGTGTGTGAGTCAGTGTTTCCTGTTAGGAGCGTCTAGCTTATTAGGACTGTAGTGGCTCTTGGTGGATTTGTTTCTTAAAAGCCGTTTGTTGTATTTCACTGAACCAGATTCTCTGATTTCAGCTGTACAGTTACACTGTCTTGACGTTCTTTGTCATTCTTACTGTGTTGCTGTGGGTCTTTATAGTGTTTCTGCCTTTCATCTAGTTTTAGCATATTAGACGGTTACTGTGTATCTAGCCTTTCATTATAAAATTAGACTTTATTAAACTAATATTGTTATTGTTGTTCAGTGTCATGGAGCTGATTCTGACTCACAGGGACTCTGAGGGTTTCGGAGGCTTGTAATCTTCGCGGGAGCAGAAATCCCCGTCTTTCTCCCGAAGAGCGGCTGGTGGGCTTGAACTGTGAACTTTGTGGTTTGCAGTCCAGGGCTTATCTTATGGAACCACCGCACTCCTAGAATTATTATGTTGTTGATGTTATGTGGAAGTGCTTCTCCCACAGTGCCACACAAGAACTCCCCAAAATTAATACAGGGAAAGAAACAGTGATTCTGACCTTGTGACCACAGGCAGGTCTCCATTATTTAGACTCATCCTACTTTAAAAAAGCAGAAAACCATTGAGGTTATAATACTTGTAAATATTTTAAGTCATTATTTATAACTAGAGTTTGAATGCCTACTATATGAGAGTAAATGAACTAGTAGGGTTGCAATTCATACAAACACGGGTGGATTTCTTCCAAACAAAATGCTTAAACATGTCTCTGTGGTCAGTGGATGGCTGCACACAAGTTCTCAGTAATACACTTGTTTTAGTCTCATTAGGATACCTTAAAAAAAAAAAAAAGTATACTTCCGTGCCATGAAAGCAGATAGATTTGCGGTTACGCTCATGTAAAAGTTTTAACCAAACAAACTCACTGGAGTTTTGAAAAACGTTATTGGGTATTATGCCCCATAAAAAACAACAGTTTATGTATGTAATTTTGTATTGTTAATCGTTTGAAAGTTTACAGACAAGAATCATCAGTTTAACATTCAACAAATTACACACTTTGTTTAATCTCAATGATTACAGTACTCTCACTGCAACAGCAGTTACCCTTGTTCCTCCCTGTGGCTCCCCATTAACATATTTCATAAAGGAACAAAACAAAAATGGACACATATGAAACAAGAAACGTGTATTAATTTAAATGTCCAGAGGGCACATTCTGCCAGCCAGCTTCCTGCCCACAGGTACACAACCTTCCTCAGTCCATGGGCCCAGAGCCCGCAGCTGTTCCGTCTCTCCATGCCACCGCCTCTGTTGTCACAATGTTCCTCGGTAGGGATTTCATGCTCCATTCATGCTTTTCCTTCTTGATTGTCCTGGGATCCTCTCTTCCTGAAATGAAAGATGAACTACTCCCCCTTTTAGTTACATATTTTCTACCATTACAGTTGTGCCAATCACAATCCTGCTAACAGTTACTCACAATTGAATCATAAAATCTCCTGTCACCATCCTTCCCTATCCCCTTTCACTAGATCCATCTGGAAAAGAGGGAATCTATTCAGTGGCGATTCTACGTTGCCTGACCGCCTTGCTCTGAAACTAAGCACTCTCCTGAAAGCTTGTAAGCCAGTCATCACTTCATAGGCCTTTATAAGCCTCCCCATTTTTGATAGGCAGTGTCTCAATTGCCTTGTTGTATCAACCCAGTGTGGTGTTGTGGGTTAACCCACTGTTCTGCAAGGTCTGGTTGAACCATAGGTTGGCAGTTCAAGCTTACCACACACTTCTGGGTAACCTTATATATGGTCACTATGAGTTGGAACCAACCTGATGACACTAAACATTGACAACAACATCAGCCCAGTATACTGAGGGAACAAGCTGCTTCCTTGATTGAAGAAGCCTTCCATTCTGACTGGAACTTTGAGCAACTGCACCCATTAGCAAAAGTCCAATTCATCAAACTGTAGCAATTTACCCTTGCTTACAGTATCAAACATCTTTGTCTTCATCTTGTTGAGTTCTGAGCAGCTAGCCATCCAAGCTAGGTCAAATGGGTAGTAAGTAGCTGCAAGTTTGGAAGTTCACGCACGCCTCCTTGCACTTCACTCTCATCTCTAGCCCCCAGGGGTTAGGTCAGTGCCCATGGGCTTGGGAGTTCTCACACTTCCCTAAACTTCAGACCAGCCAGCCCTTCCTCTTGTCTCTCTCACATCAGTGGAGCATGGCAAAACTCAGCGCTGTCTTCCTTGCCACATTTCCTCCACATCTGTTCCCACGTAGACCCATGTTGTTGTTGTTAAGTGCCGTTGAGTCGGTACCAACCCATAGCGACCCTGCATAGGGTTTCCGAGGAGTGGCTGGTGAGCTTGAACCGCCGACCTTGCAGTTCAAACGGCTTTACAGTCTGGCGCATTAACCCACAGCGCCACACCAGGACTCCACGTAGACCCATACTGGATTGCTTATTGGCTCCCTCTAAGTTTCAGTCCTAGAAGAGGGTTTTCCCTGATGGGATGACTTTTCCTGCCTTGATGCCTCCAAAGCAAACCATTTGCTTGAAATTCAAACAATCAGTCCCTGGTTTTTCTACAGGTCGTCTGTTCTTCTAGCAGTTCAGGGTTGGTCTGCATGTCTTTTCAAGTGGGAGTATCCCAACTCAAATGTTCTGGGTGGGCAGTTTGCTTATTAAAAAACAAACAAAACTTTTTAATGTGAATTGGGTGAAGGTTTCTAGAGGAAATCAGTTTTTTAATTCAACAATCATGCACATTTTAGTTTATGTCATTGATTGTTGTTGTTAAGTGCTGTCAAGTTGATTCCGACCCATAGAAAACCTGTATAGGGTTTCCAAGGAGCAGCTGGTGAGCTTGAACTGCCGACCTCGCAGTTCAAAGAGCTTTGCAGTCTGGCGCATGATTACAGTCCCCAAAATGTGTAACATCCCTGTCTGTCTTGTCTGTCTGTCTGACCTCCTCTTTCCTTTCCTCCCTTCCTCTTTTCAGTCTTCTTCCTTTTCTGCCTCCTCCTGCCTTCTGAGCTTTATCTCTGACCAACTGCTGCCTTTTTGATCTTGAATGGTTAATTGTTCTAAGGGTTGGGTTTCTCTCTAGTGTTATTGTTTACCTTACAGAACTGTCTATTGTTTGACTGAAAAGTCTGATCATGAGCTTAGTTCTCAGCCTTGAGAGTAGCTGGGCTTCCACTCCTTTCTATCCCACCAGTGAGCCAAGGCTTATTAATGATTTCCATCTTGTTCCACATTTTTTCTCCCAGTCTATCCAGGACCTTCCTGTGTAATCCATTGTCAGTAGTACTAGCTGGGTACTGCAGACATCTGTGAAGATTTAAGTGGCCAAAGCACCCCTTACAGACTAACAGGGGAGGGTAAAGTGCTGTTTACATAGCATTTACATTGTCTTAGATATTATAAGTAATCTAGAGATGATTTGAAGTCTATGGGAAGATGTACTTTAAGGAGCCCTCATGACGCTGTGGGATAAGCAGCTAACTGCAAGTTTGGTAGTTCAAATCCTCCAGCCCTTCTGTGGAAGAAAGAAGAAGCTGTCTGCTCCCGTAAAGATTTATAGGCCGTAGAGTGACTGTGAGTCAAAATTGACTACATGACAGTAGTGAGTTTGGGTTTGGTAGGATGTACGTAGCTTATATACAAATATAAGCTACGTTTATATTTTGTATAAGGGAGTTGAGCAACTGTACATTTTGGTATCTGCAGAGGATCTGGAACCATCTTCTCCTATAAAGGGCACTGCTTCTGAATTTCCTTGGAAGGCAGTTTGGGCAAATGGTTTACAAAAGAAGTAGAAATGGTTTCCAATTATGTTTGTGGGATCCTGTTTTTAAGCATTGAATGTTACATACCAGATTAGTTCTCTTTTCTTCCTTTTCGATAGAATGTGTACTTTAGCCTAAGAACAATGGAAAACAGCTTCTCTTTTAGCTGTCTCAACTCATTCTAACCTCATTCCTAACTTCATAGTTTATTTTGGCTGTAAATTCCTGCCCACTTTTTATCTGCTATAAAAATGTATTTTTCCTTCAATCAGGGGAAAAAATGTAAGCTAACACATATTTATTTTGGTTTATCTTATTTTCATAATCCCTGGAGCTCTGCCATACCTCTGCCAGGTTTTTTTTTTTTTTTTTCCTTTTCTTTTAA